CCTGCTGATATATCTCAGAAGATCAGGCCTGTTGATTATCTTCTCTTGACTTAGTAAGTCAACAGAGTACGTGCCTCTTGGAAGGTGGCATTAACATTGGGGTGTGCTGGGCTGGCTGCATTCACGTGGAAGGCAGCAAGTCTCTTCTCAGGGCTTCCAACTCATTAATTCTTAACTGGTCCCAGTATTTTTTGTAATGCCTCTCCAGAAGAGAGCCAAGCAACCTCATTAGCGTTTGTAAAGAATGAAGGGCAGTGAGTAGTTAGCGCATGTTGACAATCCAAGTAATAACCGAAGACCTTCCTTTTGGCAAAAGTTAAAGCCCCAGGGCCTCCCGTCCTGTGGGAGAAGGATCTCCTCTGCATTCTCTTCACCTGTTTATTCCAGCTCCCAGAAGATGGAGAGCAAGATGGATAATTTCTTTGGTTAGCATCCGCTGAGGCCTATTTCTGATTTCCAGTTTGGAGGGGCTTCCCTCAGGAGGGCCATCTGTACTGCACGAGTCATAAAGTAATAGACGAAGGATTTCTGCCAGCTTCTGGGCAAATAAATAACCTCAGGCCATCATAATCATATCAATCTTCAGAAAATCCCTTGAACAAGAAGAACAACTCTGATTAGTTCCCTGATGGTGGCTCTGATTCTTCAAGTGTAATGTCCACGTAGATTTTCCTTGCTTACCCCTGCAAAGCCCTATCGTTAGGGGAGTCAGTACTGGTGAAGAGCAGAGGGCTGGCTCTGCCTGCTCTTCAATTTCTGCCGTTGGTTGACGGGGAAAGGTTTAAGGACAGAATTTTTCTGACCATAAACAATCTGTTGCTTAATACCAGGGGAGCGTCCACACCAGAAAAGAAAGCCACAGCATGTTGGATGCATCTACAGTTATACTAAGTCATTCAGTTTTAGTGTTGTTTAGAGGAGAGCTTCACACCGGAGGAGTTTGTTGGAGTGAATTTGCCATGTGTGTCGAGTGGCTGTTTACAAATTTTTATTTATTGTTATTTTTTTACAGGCCAAACACAATCCTCAGGCTTCGATTCAATCACTTTGCCACAGAGTGCAGTTGGGACCACTTGTATGTGTATGATGGAGATTCAATTTATGCTCCCTTACTGGCAGCCTTTAGGTAAGTTCCTCTTGGTAAGAACCTAACTGTATGCAATGATGTTTCTTTAGCTTGGAGCCTGAATCAAATGAAGTATAAATGTTTTCCAGTAATCTAAATATCTAATACTGCAAGTACGGCACATATAGCAAGTGTCCTTTTGTGCAGTCATCGTCAGCATAAACAATTAAGGAGTTGTTTTTGCTTTTACAATGAACAAATCATGTTACCACACTGTAGCATGTAAGTACCATGTTTTCATTTCCAAATCTGAGTATTTGAGAGACAAAAAAAATTACTCTTATGTAGTTGAACTTGAGATGATTTGATACACCGGCTCCTTCGAAAGTAGAAAACTGCCCCATTTGTCAGGTTTGAACATGACTTAAGTTTAACTCATAGTATGTCAATGCTGGCAGAAGGCAAAAGGCAATTAATCAACATGGGAGACATACAGGTCTCGTAGAACTATGTATATCCTTATGTACCTTAAACTTTAAATTTTTGAACTCTTTGGAACATGTTCAGAAGCAAACTGATGGGTCAGACAACCTTGTAAAAACATGTAAAAAAAAAAAAAATCTGTTTTTCTGATGGGTGACTGGTATTTGGCTCATCTGTCTGTGGCGAGAGACCAATTTGTGAATGCTGGTTAACAGTTGACATTTCACGAAGAGACCTAAATATAACTTGTGCATTTATGTACTTTAGTCTTGCAGTGACAAGCACCACCTTATGTTTTCTATTCTTTTAGCTGAGATTAGAAAAATAATCCCAAGTTGTGTACGGAAAAACTAATGGTTCCCTTTGGACTCTGCTTGTTCCAAGTGGCTGATTAACTGTTTCCAGAATTAACCTTCTGCTGTGCTTCCTTTCGTTTGTGAAATGAAGTTCTAAAAATACTTCATGTTTATTCTAAAAAAACTCTTGTAATCTCTGTGAGAGAAGAACAGCATAGGATCAAAAAGTTGATAAAATTAAAACCACCGCCTGTTGTTTTTGGTCTTCAAGTGAAAATGCAGAGTTGTTTTGTAGTGAAAGAATGCTTCTTGTAAACCTTCAGATGAACCTGAGGTCAAAACAGGACACACAAATGAATTATTATGTTATTCTTACTGCATCTCAAGAAGTAGAAACATTCTTGCTTCTAAAAACCACCAAAAACCCAGAGGTGCGACCTGGAAGCGCTCTCCTGGTATTATGCACTGACTTGATATGCAGGAAGAGGAAGAAATGTCATCCTGACTCAGAGTCATTTTGCTCTAATCGAGCTAATTTTTCATACGCTGTCAAAAAAGTGGAAAGATCATGATTTGTGCCTGCAGTTTCTTGTGTGTTTTCCAAAAATTAATAGGCTTTTTAAATTGAGGTTATAAGCAGTTCACAGCGTTAACAATTATGGTTCAGACTTTAAAATCATCTGTAAATCACTAGGAAGTCTGTGCCTGAGGACAAGCAAGCGTGAGCTTAATACAATAACATTTTTAAGGTAGGAAAAAAATTCAATTATTTCTTTAATTGCTTCTTTAGATGACATTTGAATTTCATCTTCATTAGTAGTGAGCTGTGTTGTGCAGTAAACCAAGTTCAGGAAATAGCAGATGCTTCTCATTTTGATGAAGTGCAGGAGCGCATCTGTTGAAAAAAATACCTTTCTCTGATACAGAAATAAACGCAGAATTTTTCAAGAGCAGTGTTCATAGTTTACCTCTTTTCCTGGCTTATTTTAAATTTTAATATTAACCATCACCATATTTCACTCTTCGCTCTTGCCAGGGGATTTGCAAGGTTGAGCTTTGTACAATTGGACCCTGTAAATTTTCAGAGTTTGTTGATAAACACTGTAAATTCCTCCCTCTCTGCAGCTCAGGTTTTATTACCTCCCTGGCTTCTTACAGCGGTTGCCTGAGCCCTCCCTTCCTTTGCTACTCTCATCTTGTTTTCTTGACCTTCTGATGCTCGCTTATGTTTGTTCACAATATGGTATTTCCCCTGAATATGAGATGATCTTGGAAATCCTCAGCACTGGACTACGGAGAAACTTTAAATTATTTTTATCAGTTTTTAACTGCGGTAAATATTTGCATAATGCAAACATTTACACAGTACGAGTGTCTGCATAAACAGTTTGCTAAACTCCTTGTGGTCTGAGTGCCCCCGGGGCAGTCTGGTTCTGTACATTAAGCTTTTTTTCTATTAAGCAGGGTTAAAAATACCTCTGCTGGTTTATATTTGTGATCATAGGCAACATGAGACTGTAAATGTGCTGCTTCAAAAATGCAATAAAAGAATGTGGAGGAAAGAGAAATCCGGCGTGTTTGTCTGCACGGAATGAAGCAGATAAACTGTACTTGTCATCTGTGAACTTTGTTGGTTTTGTTTTTAACTATGCTCTGTGTTAAACATTTACTGGAGCTGCTTTTTGCACCTTTATTTTCATTTTGTGCTGGTTGGCGGGAGGTGTTTTCCTCTTCAAAACCAATCGTTCTTATGCAAGACCTTTGGCCGTGGCTCTGCACTTGGTGCTGGGGCGTGAGACGGCTCAGAAGTGCCTCACAGTTGCTCTCAGGAGCCAGATGGATGGATGGGTGGGTGGATGGATGGATGGTCAGTCATGGTGGCAGTGCTGGCAGATGACAGTGGCTACCCCACGGTCACTCGCTGCGCTGGCTGCTCTGCGGTGCCTCCACGTGAGCTCTCGTCCCCTCAAAACCCAGGAGCAGCTCACCTTCCTTTTGTTACTTGCAGGTGAATATGGCACTTGTACACCCAAATTTGAGTCTCGGCACAGAACGTGGGGTGAGTTGGGTTGGAAGGGACCCCGGTCTGATCTGTCACTCAAACCAGAGCCAGCTTCAGAGGGGGACCAGGCCATTGCTCAAGGCTTTGCCCAGTCAAGTTGTGAATTTCTCTGAAGGACGGAGATCTTAGTGATCCTCCGGGCTAGTGGTCCAGCGCTTGACCACCCTCATGTTAAAAAATAATAATAATAATAAAAAATGAATCTTACACTAATATCAAATCAGAATGTCCTTTGTCGCAACCTGTGTCTGTTGCCTCATGTCCTTTTTCTGTGACCCTCCAGTGCTATCTCCTCCTATATTTTTCCTTCCATTCCCTCAATTCTTTACCAGAAATCATAACCCTTGTTGCTGCCGTGGGCACACGCAAACGCTCTCTCTTTCTTGTGCTTTGTCCTCAGTGCCCTTCCTGAACTAAGCTGCAAACCCTGCTTACCCCTCACGATCGACTTGTCTTATATTGCTTAGAGCAAATGATCAGCTGATAACAGCAGGGGGGTTGTTAATGAGGATTAATTATACTGGGAAAGGTACAAACCACGTTGAGTCAGTACTATTTGTGTTACAAGAGTATCCAGAGGATCTAATCAACGTAGAGCTGATGTTATACAGACTTATAGGAAGAAGTGGTCCTCGCCTCTGGCACGTATAGGCAGAGAACAAACTGTGGGTGTACGTGCTCTGCGTAAAGACGGAGGAACTATTTAATGCTTAAGTTTTATTGCTCTGTTTACTTCAAAGCATGTATTGAGTGTCCTTCCCTCATGTGCATAACCAAGTTTTTCTCTACCAATATTCTTGCCCTCCTCTGTTGGAGCTGGCACTCAGCACGTAATCAGCCATCACCTCCAAATCAGTTTTTATTCTGTGTCCTGAGATAGGGGATAGGGGATATATAATATTACAGCCCTGTGCTGGACTGTGTTGCAATACGGTGGTCATGCACACACTTCACAGAGCAGTCGGGTTGAGTTTTTGTCCTAGCAGCCTGTCCTCTAAGTATTTATTATTTTGCTCAATTTGTTTTCTTTGCATCCACAATAATTTCTAGAATATAGATTTAAAAAAAAAAATACTGGTATAAGATGAGGAGCAAATGTATTTGGGTTTTTGCTAGAAATGTACCTACTGCATGATGTTCCTTTGTTCACATTTATTCCGTGAGCCCATCGGTGAACTAGGTGATCCTTGAATTGGGTGAGAATTGATTAATCAAAACGTCTTTGTGGTAGAAAGTCAGATTTCTTAGAGAAATGTAAATGCATTGTATCAAAATTGCTTTTGTTCACTAAACCTGTAACCCCCTTCAAAAACACCAACTCAATTTGACAAGATGGACAAAGAGTTTCTGTTGTAGTGTTTTGAAAAGATAAATCCTCTGAGTTAAATCGAGGCAGTTTAGAGCAGAAAGTTTATTCAGTCCTTCAGTTTCTCAGTTCTTTTCTCTTAACTGATTCTGATGGAGTGAAAAATGTAGGGTTTTTTTTTTTCCATTAATTTAGGTATCCCGTACCAAGCTTCATGGGTATTGAATGATAACAGTCTTTATATTTTAAGAAAGGAAAAGGTACTTGCACCAAGCAGATACCATGATCTGTCTCTCCCAAGATACTAAAATAATTTTTAAACTTTTAAAGTATTTCTTCACTGGAAAGAAATAACATCTTTTTTGCCATTAGAGGCTTCTCAGTCTGTGTTCTCTTGAAATACAGCTTTTACAGTCACGCTCACCATGTGACATAATCATTAAAAATTACCGAATGGCTCATGAGACCCATTTTAACGTATTTATGGTTTGTCCTTGTTCTGCTGTCACCGGAAGGAAGAGCATCGTGTCAGAACCGAGGAGGTTTTTGGGACAAGCCCCCTCGATCCGGAGGGCTCTGCGGGCAGGCGGGCTTGCCCTGTGCTGCTGCACCACCTGGGCCTCTCTGTAGGGCAGCAAGGGAAGATGGTTTCAATAAAAATTGTACTTTGAGGAGTTGCCAGCTCTCAATAATGAGTCTTTTTTTTTTTTTTTTTTTTAAATAAATACCATTGTAATTACTTTGTTTCCTTAAAAGTCCGTGTTTGGGAGTCATCTTGCTGCATGAGAATCTTGGCTTTTCCTTTAAGAAAATAAATTTGAGATGTCTCCTTATCTTCTCCCACCCCCTTTTTTTTTTTTGGCATTGATCTATTTTTAGTCTCTTAGTTTCTATTTTTGGTTTGCTTATTTTTAGTCTTGTGGTTGGGAGTATAGGTGAGGTGCATAGACTGTTTTTTAATAAGGGAAAAATGGTGTCATTTTGCATACATATGTGTCCAAATGGATCAGAGTATTTAAAAATTAGAAGAGAATTGTTTTGCATTGCGTTCGATAGATTGAGAAGCCGATGCACTACTGATTTTTCAGTATCATCTTTATCCTTTCACATCTCTGTGATCTGTACTCTATATTTTCACCCCTTCTTTTTGTGGCTCCCATCTTCCTTTTTGACTGTTTTCTGTTCAGTAGAGCTTCTTAACGCTTTTGATCTCTGCCACGCTGGCAGATTGTGTCTCAGGAGAAAATGATGAATGCACCTTCACCGTGACGCTTGCATAGCAAATCGAGGAAAAGTAATAGAGGAGGTGCCCTTCATTTTAAATAATTCCCTTTTTTCTGTGGTGTAAGGGAGAGAGCAAGGCAGACGGTGTGTGCAGGGCGATAGAGAAGTTGGGTCTCCTGGATGTTGTTTTTCATTCTGCCACTGACTCTACAAATCCAGCACGCAGAAAATAGAAGTTGTTTCAGGGCAAAACAGAGGTTTGCCTTTCAATCTATAAGAAATAGTGTCACCGGGCAGCTTAGCTGAGTAGGAGTATTTGTTTGCTTTGGAGTAGTGATGATTGTGAAATGTTTTGAAACCGTATGAGAAGAAATAGAAGCGGTACGTTGTGAAATAGGCTAATCTTGGCCAGAGTTGAGTCTCTGAGAGATTCTGGATTGTAGTTTAAAGGAAGTTTTGCACAATCCTTTATCATTCTGACTCTACCTATTGGATTTTTTTTTTTCTTGGCAGATAATGTAAATTCTGTTTGTGCTCATTTATTCAAAATGATACTGTACACACACTGATTTATTCACGGTTTTCGAGATTCAGCCTTTCAAGGACCTGATCGTTATCATTGTCTTTTCTTCATGGCTTTCTCTGAATGAAATGACAATCTCTCTATTAAGTTTCGTCAGGCTGTTTTCAACTTGTGTAGGTGGGATAACATCCTCTTTAGTTATTTACATACGAGTCATCAGAAAAAGATGGAAAGAAAGGAGAAAGGAGGAGATGTGGTGAGAGCATCCTCTATGGAGGTACTTGCATTCTTCCCAAACAAATCCCAAAACTGAGATTTCTAAGAGAAAACAAATAATTGTCCTGTGCTAGTCCTTTTATTAGGAAAGGCTATTGGCAGGGATTTTTGTCATCTTTCGCTACCGCTATTCACTCCGTACTTTTATTCTTTGCTGCTGTTTTTCTCCCCTCTCCGGGGCCTTCCTGATAGATTGCCCTGTAATGTCAGTGGTAAGTACTGCAAGAATAAGACCAGAGAAGAATAAATCAGAACAAAGGAATTTTCTCTCGTCCCTGAGCTATAGTTTGCCTTACCCTGAATTATATTCAGATGTCTGTTTTCCTGTGGCAGAGATATGCCGTCCTACAGTTTGCATTACAAAGGAAAACTATGAAACAAATAGCAAGAAGACGTTTATTAGACTTTTTGTTCTTTGGTGTTGTGAGAGACGGTCTTTTGAGAGAGATGATGTTCAGATCAGAAGTCTCAAACTTTAGAATGAAACAGGCACTTCTTACCCATGGAGAAAAAGGCAGTGAATTTTGCCTTTTAATCCCATATCCTTGAGCTCTGAAGGAGGAAAAAATAATTGACTTTCTCACAAGGAAATATTTATTGAGCTACATATCAGCAAATGTGCTGGAGTTGTTTAGCCAAAACATGGGATCAGGTTACTACATTTTTATGGCATGTTGGTGAGATGAAGGAGATCTTTTTTGACCACAATATGACTTGTTGTGCAGAAAGGGCCGTTGTACAGTTTGCAGACTTAGCCGGCCATAGGGAACACGTTCATCTGTTACTCTTGGTGCAAACCCCCCCAACTTCCATAGCAAAAGCTTTTGGAAAGGATCGCTGTGTTATTCTTTGAGCACACCATTGTATTGTATCGTGGGGACAGAAAAATTCAGGTCACAAAAAAGTGCTTTACAGGCAATGTGAATGGGTTGCTGTGGATAGCTGTGAGTGTTTTCCTTGGGTGTAGAAACTCATTTATCCTGTCCTAGGGAACTGTCTTCAAATGCATTTGCTTTCTCTTCTGAATAGATCTGAAAAGAGGAAAAGTAAGTTCTTTTCAGGGGGAAAAAATTCTTTTCATTGTTGCTTTTTAGTTGATGGTGCCCTCGGATATTCAGAAGTTGCAGTGCATGAAACCAGGCTCGGCTGTTTTCCCGGGAGAGCTGCAGCCCCGGAGCGGCCAGAGCTGCCTTCGGTTCCCTGCCCGACACGCTCTGCTCTGGGGTTTGGAGTCTTTGCTTGACAAAACGCTTTGACTTGGCCTTTGAAAACAGGACTGAGGCTGGGGGAAAGATGGTTCTGTACAATAAAATAACAGCTGACTGTGAATAGGTGGTGGTAGACAATGCACTTTGCTTAGATAAAGGCTTAAAACAATAAATTCAGTAGACTTCAAATTTATGCCTATCTTTTGTATGAGGGAGGAATTGACTTCTTTGTTTTGTTGTTGTCAGACTTCTATTAAAAGAAGAATAAACATTCCCTTTCAGATACAAATGATTTTATGTAATAGGTAAATAGGTAGTAGTTACTCTTTTCAAGAGACATTCAGTCTCCTTGCCAGCTTATTCCAATTGTTTTGGCAAACGGTTATATAAATCTGTGCTGTGTCCAACCTTGAATATTGTAAATAGTCTTACCCACCGTCCTTGTATCTCTGCGAACCCTGGAAAACTAAAAGGTTGGAGGATCTCGTAGAATCTGGAAGGATGTAGAGAAACAGCCAGAGACATCCCGAAATGTGAAGTGATGAATGAAGTGGGACTAGTGAGTGCAACAGCCTTTTAGGGTAGAAGAGACAACGAATGTGGATGCGATGAGTTGGATGGAGATTTATAAAAGAGTGGGTGGCAGGAAGGTGATGAGCAAGGGTGATTGTACTTATTTCTCATAGAGGAGGAACCCAAGAACCAGTGACGGATGATCAGGCAGCAAATGTAAAGCGAGCGTAAGAAGTCCTTTCTCTGCCATTGTGGAGTTAAGTTGTTGACCTCCCTGCTGCAAGTCTTCCAGGTGAAAAGGGTGTAAATGGTTGAGAAAGGAATTATATAGAAGCATGGGTGAATGGTTTAGTTAAATGTCCTGACTTGAGTGCATTCTCCAGGTCAAAGCACCTGAACCGTGGATTTCTGGAAACTGGATAACACCTCGCCAAAATGCTCCGTACTTGCTTTATTTGTCTGAGTCTTTCCCAAGCGTTTGCTGTAGCACAGAGTCAGGAGGAGATACTGGGCTCAGCAAACCTTTAGTTTGACTTAGTACAGCAAGTTTTATGCTTTTGGGACACACTAATTTCTGTTTCCAAACATGCCACCTTGTAGGAATGGGTCCTCTTTAAATCGTGGCAGAATAACAAGGGAGAGGAAAATAGGTTTTTCGTAAGAATAACTGGAATCTGAGATAGCTTCAGGTTTACTCGGGTTAAATGCTTTTAATACACGTTTATCTTTCAGAAGAGCCAAGTTGATTACGTCAGGGTTTTTTTTTCTGCAGCCATTCCTTCTTTTAGACCGAAGTTGCGCATCTTAAGGGCAGCAGTAATGCTGCTCTCGATAGCCTCAGTATCCTAATTTGTCTGCACTCCTTGGCCAGTAGCATGACCGCTGTATTGCAGATAATTAAGCCAAGAAAGAGACCTGACTGAACTGGTCCCTCAAGAATGAGATTTTATCTTTCCGAGAGGGTCTTGGGGGTTCTTAGGCCTTTGAGAAGCAGTTGTTTTGAGCGTTGGTTGAGTATCCATGTTCACAATGTTGAGGCATTTTCTTTTGAATATTTAAGGAGTTCTGTTGAAGAAATCGATCTGATAAGACTGCTCTATGAAAATGATTATTACTTTATGCAAGTTCGTTATACTTCAAATAGATACAAATAAATAGCTTGAGTTTCAATTGGTTTGTTAATACTGATGCATGTACTATTGTTGCTTTGCTCCCTTTTTATTTCACTTCTAACACTGGTTCTTTTTTTTTTTCTTTTCTTTTTCAGTGGTCTTATTGTTCCTGAGAAAGACAGCAATGAAACAGTACCAGAAGTTGTAGCTACTTCTGGTTATGCTCTTCTGCATTTCTTTAGTGATGCTGCCTATAATTTAACAGGATTTAACATCACATACAAGTAAGTAGTCCCACTCCAAAGTGATGTTGCAGGTTGAGCAAAAGGAAGTTTCCTCTTTTCTCAGTTTTGTCTTGAAATAAGCAGTTGCCATTGAAGCATGTAATTATGAGTAGATACGTGAATTTAGATTTTTATCTTTATTATACCCTTGCAACGGCTAATAACTGTGATGCGCTCAACAATGACTTCAGTTGTCAATTGTAAGCGTGGGCAAATGTTTGCTCGAAAAGGCATCATATTATTTATTTTGTGTTATTAGATGTGTTTGATCATATTCAGTCAACCAGAATTGATGTATTTCGTACATGTGTGTGCTCTTACGCATTCTGCAGAGATAGTTCTGCACAAACACGCTTTTGTATAAGCATATACATTTCACTTGGGACACTGAACTGTACCTACTGTTGAGGATCCTCAAGCAGTTTTCTTTGGGATGCTCTTTCTTATTCAATCCTGGGATTGAATCACTTAATCTGGCTTCTTTTTAGTCTGGAATGGTTTTGTTATGTTCTTTGGCTTGTATTTTAAATATTAAAATGTGGTGGGTGCTTTCTAATTGCTGACATGTATTTAGTCCTCATTGGTAAGCTTTTTAAAAAAAGTTCTGAGGTACTCCCTGATTCATCGACTGCTTTTAGAAGGGTTTTATTTTGAAGTAAGTGCTCTCAGTGTGGACTTATTAGCAGAAATGGAATCTCTTGCTTCTGATGGGGATCATGGGCTTTGAATTTTTTGCTCCTACAGATACGAATTATGTTTCTGCTGTACTGGCAGATTTTAATTTGGGTGTAACTTGCAGACGTTCTCACCTCTTTTTCAAAAAAATCAGCTGCAAAATCCTTGGTCACTACTGACTCTTTGCAAAAACTGAAAGTTTTCCTTAAAATGAGGTGTTTAGTTTTTGAACACCAGTCTCGGTGCTTTCATCCTTATTAAGCACATAAATATATGGTGGATTCTTTGAAAAATGTGGGGCATCCAGCACCCCTTGAAAGCTCCAGAAGAAAATGAGGAGCCTTTGCAAAGTTACTTGAAATAAGGTAGCATTTTCAAAATCTGGCTGATACCATAAACCATCATACCATCTACTGCAAGCTGTTGGTATTGCACCATTGCAATACCGCGGAGACATTCTTTTAAAGAATAACCTGCCGTTTTTAAGTTCCTTTTAAGACATTTTAATATTTCTTTAACCTTTCACTTTCTTGATCATTTCAAACAATTTGCAAGTACTCTTTTGTGTTTTGTTTCTTCTGTGTGTTCTGGTCATTAAGTTTCCTCCAGACATTTTTGCAAGAGAGTAGACAAAAGATTGTATTTCTTTCTTTTCAGTTTAACAGTCTTTGTGGTTACTACTGGACTTAGGTACTGCAGAAACACTTGTGAAATTATGGTCTTGGAACCAGTGACTCCACCTGTTGCATGACAGTGAGAATATTGGGTAGTAATCCCCATCTGTGAGTTATACTGGCTGATGCACGGGCAAGAACTGGAAATGAATAGGGTCTATGAATCTGGATCTTCACCAAGGGTGGATCTGGTTTTGCCTACATTGCAGATATTATAAAATCAGAAATGATTCAAAACAGGCACATCTTTGGCTTGGGATTCATCTCAAGTGTGTTCCCTTGGTAAGCAGATCCCAGAATAGCACCTAATTGTGGGTAGTTTAAGTATAAATTACACAGACACCACAAAAGCCTTATGCGCTGATTAAATCCTTCACTTACTGTTGAGTATTTTAAGGCAATTCATTTGCATTACAAATGGCTAAAAATCATATTGATAATTTTTCAGAGGAGTTGTAAATTTAACTCGTTAAGTGAGGCAGCTCTGTAGATGGTAGAGACCAAATCTCTACAGGTCCATCCCATCAAGTTGTAGATGAGCAGCTCTCGTTGGTTTGTATTAGTTAACAAACAGCCGTATTAACTCTTGTTCAACGTCACTCTTGTATTCGTTAATAAGAAGTACAGCTTGGGAATCTGTTTCATTACTGACAAACCTTTGTTCCTTGATGTTCGCAGTTTCAATATGTGTCCCAATAATTGCTCCGGCCGAGGAGAATGCAGGCTCAATAACAGCAGCAATGCTCTTGAATGCGAATGTGCCAAATACTGGAAGGGAGAAGCCTGTGATATTCCCTACTGCACTGATGATTGTGGGGCACCTGAGAGAGGGCATTGCAACTTTAATGATACCAAGGCATGTTTGTGCTCCGCGGGCTGGCAAGGTAAGTCTCCTGATGAATGTAGAGAAGCTCCTGGATGCATTTTCTATGTATTACTCTTGCAGTTTAGTAGGGAGTGTTTGAGAATGTTCTGTATTTTGACTAGGAACAGAGTATCTACCTTTTTATATCAAAAGATCATACTTCATTTGTAACTAGCGCTTTTATAAAAGCAACTACGCTACCGTACAAAGCAGTACCAACCCGTTGTGTGCAGACATCAGATAAAAGCTTTAAACCTCATTCCTGTTCACTTAAAGCAAATTTGAGCCTGGTGGCTGTAGTTAACCTGTTTGAACACACAAAGTGCCTTATCCTAATGTCCAGCTATGCTGTGCAGCCATGTCAATCTTAGCAACAGTTTGGACCAAACATACGTATTTCCTTTGCAAAGAGATACTGACATGCAAGAATTTGTCTCATGTGAAATGCAACCAGCTACAGCACTGGCAGGACCTGCTACCACCGCTCAGCTATGCTGGAAAACCAGACAGCGTGTTAGGCAGTGTGGAAAGAATCCAGGTTAGGAAAATGAGCATCCTAAGGAGAATACACCTGGTACTGAGGTTAGCATATCTGCCTCTTGCATATAAAATCAGGTAATAGACTTCAGGGCTCATACTTGACTCGAAGACCACATCCCCTTACGCGATACAGTGCCTCGTGATGCTTTTCTGGAGTCTGGTTGCGCACTGACAGTATGGACACTTCCATAGGGAACTCTGAAGGGAAGCCTGGCACTGAAGAAGTTGGTTTTAAGAGCAGCAGAAATATAGGAAAAAAATAAGAAGTAAACAATTCACAAAAATGTATTGCTGGGAAGGAGAGGAATGAAAAGAGAGCAAGGTAGCCATAGACCTTTGGATTTTATAGCATGCTGCTGAGCAGGTCTGTTGAAGCTTTCGTGGGTTGCGTTGGGGCTTCTGTGGGTGCATGATAACTAGAGAAGTGCTGGGAGATACCCTCTTAGTGTGGAGTGGGAAGAGGTCTGCACCGTGCCCCCCTGTAATCATAGTTGGGGAGAACAGAGCAGAGTGTCCGCTTTGCTGCATCTCAATTCATCTAGTCTGGAACTGCTTTTTAGTTCTGAAAACAATTTAGAATTTGAAGTGTGTGGTTACACTTGGGAGACGGCACACCAGGTCTGTCACAGATTGCTGGTATGGGCAAGGAAATGAGGATCACAGCTTCCACCTGTTACCTGGCCATACCCCATCTTTGTGGTATGCAAGTGGTGCAAGATATTGACCTCTAGCTGAAATACAGGCTTTGGAAAGAATCGGCTTAATTTTTAAACCTTACTTTCCCAGGTCCTGGCTGTTCAATTCCTGTTCCTGCAAACCAGTCTTTTTGGACCCGGGAGGAATACTCTCTTCCAAAACTTCCTCGAGCATCTCACAAAACTGTAATCCATGACAATAAAATGTGGATTGTTGGAGGCTATGTCTTCAATCATTCCGACTCTCAGAAGGTTTTAGCGTGAGTATAAACCTAGATAATAAAGTCTAAGTAGAGGAATGTAGATTTGAGAATTATTTTTAGAAAATGCCATTTGACATGCTGTGCTTTGGCCTACGCTCCATCTCCAGGGGAAAACAGCAGTAATAAAAACTTAGACTTACGTTTGAGAAGTGGGAAAATGCTGCTAAGGGGTGCTAATTTTGGAAAAGAAAAAGCATAAGGTTCCTGACATTCCGTGAATTTTTGATTTGTCTGCTTCTGACAGTATTTAACTATTTGCTATATTTTTCTAGGCTAGCTTCTAAATTATATTTGGCCTTGTATACAAAGAGGGTAGTTTTGCTTCACTGTTATTAGCACTTCCTTACAATATATTTGTGTGACTTCGGAGTGTTTGGCTCCTTGATTAAAAGATACTGATTACTGTGGATGTTTATGGGATATGGATGGGATGCCAAACAGGGAGTGGCATTTAGGGTGATGATATTTATGCAATTAGTTGAGGAGATTTAACAGGAACTAAGATATCAAGTAATAATTGTGTACCTTGTGGAAATCCCCCATGAAAAAAATCCCATGAACAACGTTTCAGGCTTCCTCTTGAGCTTGATAGTAGTTGGGCAGATCTAGGCAAAAGCTGGATTTTTTTCCCGGACATACCTGCATACCTCACTTTCAGGGACCTAAGCGAGAGCTGTCTGTGCTGTACTCGTGTCCAGAGGTAATAGTTCTTGTAGGGGAAGTTAAAGAGGAGCTGAAAATGCACACTTAGTTCTAGAGTAGTTGCTGATTACATCCACAATTTACTCTTTCAAAGTCATGCCTGATTTTTCAACAGATACCCTGTGACTTCATTGAACACTTTCTCAGAGAGGATTTTATCTTATAAGGCTGTAAGCCTGGCAAGTATAGTTCGTTCATTTTATCTAAAAAGCCACAGGCCATTTTCAGGGCAGAGGGTTTATCTTGTTTCAAGTTCACAGAAAAAATATACTTGAATGACAGGGATATAATTAAAAAGTGTCTTTTAAACTCTGGCAGGTTTTTTTTATCAAGTAGTTGGAATTTACTGGAGCTTAGTGTAAACTTTTGCTACTCTTTTGGGTGGTCTAAGTTGTCATAGCTTAATAGACAATGCATTAGCTCTTCATTTTGCATGGGAAAGAAAACTCAGGGTAAAGCAAATCAATATGTGGACGTTAAGTAACAGAGCAGGCTTGACTGGATTTTTTAATCCATAAGCAGTCTGTGCGTGCTTTGTGCAGGCTGAAATCTTGGTAGGACTTTCGGTAAATAATTTCCCACAAATCCTGGAAAGGACAAGCAATAATTTTCTTAACTTTAATACCTGCTTCTCAGAAAATTAATTCAATTTTTATTATACAGGTATGATCTTATTTCTGAAGAGTGGCTTCCACTGAACAACACTGTGAACTCAGTAGAGATGAGATATGGTCATTCATTGGCATTACATGAGGTAAGTTCAGTGCTGCAGACTCACCTCCCAGCTGATTCCTCCTTCTTCTCCACCCCACCTGCCTATTTTCACAGATCAGTCTTGCTTTGGGAGAAGCTTTTCTGATTCTCATTGTCCATGGTTAGCCCAGTCTGTGTACTCCAGGGAACCCTTGGACTGGTATTCTATGAAGTCTGTAGTACCTTTCCTTGTGTGTTCCTTCTTTGCCCTTTTCTCAGAGATTTGAAGGCTGACTGAGGTCAGTGAGTCCATTATTTTCTTCTTACTGAGTGTGCTTGCAAGACATGCCCAACGGCTAGAGTTTACAGGAGTTCAGCTCGTTCCTCAACTGCCTTTTGTGTAGACTACATAAATACTTTTATGAGCTCCGTTGTCCAAGGCACCAAAGCAGAGCTGGTGAATTAGGGATTTTTGGAGCCTGCTCCGCTTCTGCAGTAGACCCGTGACTCTATTCCTCCAGCATCTGAAAGGGCAAGTGGATCTGACTCTTTCTTAGCTCATTTCTCACCTGCATGCCTTGCTGTGGGTGCAGGCCACGTGAGAGCAGAGCAGCAAAGTCTCTGAAAAGGAAATGAGATAATCCTTTACTGACCTCTGGTTTTGGAATGTTAATTAGCTCATCACAGTGCAAGCTTGTGTAAAGCATAATGATAAACACTTGAAAAACTCCACGCAGCACCATTCACAAACAGAACATTTGAAGAACCTGAAGAGCCCTCCTACCTGCGAGGGCTCGATGCACATTCTGCAAATAGCTGTTCAAAAGCAGGGTACGATAAGACAGTTTACCATCAGTGATGGGCAGTGGTTCTCAGGAATTTCACAAGAAGCACCAGCTGTAATAGAGAATTTCCCATTCCAAGGTTACTGCCTCGTCAGTAGGGAAATAGGGCTCCAGTACACCCTTTGTTGTGTTCATGACTGACTCTGAGATGCCTGGAAAAACCCACAAAGGAAATTGGATAGAGTTTTGGAGCTTAGCTCTTACAGGATGATTAATAAAACCCTGTCTAACTATCCTGGCTCCCTTCTTTCCAAAGGGCCCTCGTCTTTTTTGTCAGTGCGTTAACTTGGAAGACCAAGCTTTTAGTGTACAGCACAGAGGAGCTTCCATCATAACTGCCTTTCCTACCAGCGTTCTTCCGCTGTTTGCATTTGCAAGCTATGAGAGGGGTTCAGCTTGCTTATTAAGTCACCTGACTTCAGGTGCCTAACTTTGGGTGCCTTTGGGAGCCTCTGAGCTCCGTTTATAGTGAAAACAGACCTAGTCAGTACAGGTAGTGAAATCTAGAGAGCAAGTCAGCTCACCCAAAAGTAGGCACAACTTCCCTGCTTTTGATCAGTAGAATTATTCTCCAGGCTGCACTGTATTTTTTATATATCTATATTTGGACACTCAGCTAGCATACGGGTACCTAAATTTTGATGTCTGTCATCTGAAGGTCAATCCTACCCCATGCATCCCTTCCCCTCCGTACCCTGGTGTAGGCTGAATTGCATGTGTTGAAGGTATTTTGACATTACAGACTTGGGTACGAACTCTGGTTGCTTTCATATTGAATGTGACTGGTGAAGGAGATGTGTTTCTCCTTGAGAGAAGAGAAGAACTTCAGCTGAGAGAGAAGATGAAGTATAATTACTTCATTACTTACATGTTAGCTGTTTCCTAAATGCCGAAGTTGTTGGCCTCATTTTAAATCTAACTTCTTTCAGGATGATATATACATGTATGGTGGAAAAATAGATGCAACGGGGAACGTGACCAGCCAGCTGTGGGTGTTCCACATTCCCACCCAGAGCTGGACTCAAGCGACGCCGAAAGCCAAGGAGCAGTACGCTGTAGTTGGCCACTCGGCACACATTGTCACCCTGCAAGACGGCAACGCGGTCATGCTCGTCATCTTTGGGCACTGCCCTCTTTACGGGTATATCAGCAATGTCCAGGAATACAACCTGGGTGAGTTGTGCCAGACCTACCATTTGCTTCAATTTTAACAGTTGGTTTGAAAATTATTTAAATGATCCATATTCACATAGCAAAACAAAGACAGACTTGAGCAGGCAGCTACGTACCTCCAACTTTATACAGCTTGATAGGTCCCAAAGACAAAAAAAGCTGTAATTGAGAGACAAAGCAGGATGACTGTGGGACAATTTAGATTAATTTTCCTCTCTCTTTCTGACAAAGCAAACACTTTAAAATTACTTTTGTATCCTGGAAATACAAGAATGGCTGTAACAATTCAGACCAAGTATCTGCTTTAGCTAATACCCGTGTCCCTAGTAATGAATGCTTAGGGCAACAGGCAATGAATTTCTGGACTCCCATATCTCTAGTATGATCTGTTCCCCATATCTCTGGGCATAGTCCAAACTCTGATTTTTAGGATCCAGAGATTTCTGTTATTACCAGTGGAGAAGGGTAGGAAGCTCTCCAGATGAACTGAACTTCTGCCTAACTTAGTGGCTCTGAAGTGACTCTCCAGAGGCATGTCCCTTGCTCCACTGACCGGGTAGAGAACATAGTTAAGCACAGGAAGTTCACAACGTGAATGTGCTGGTTATTGTCAGAAAATAGTGACCCTGTCTGCACTTTCAACCTGTTCTCCTTGGCCTTCAGTCATCCTGATCCAGAGGATCTACTGGAGCCTTGCTCGCTGGTGTCCACACAAGCGAGCTTTCTTCCTCTCGGAGAAAGCCAGAGAAAACCAGGATGTGTGAGGCAGTGATTTGTTTTTCTACTGTTTTGTTTTGCGCATGTGTGATCTTACAGACTATAAAATTCTGTTGCCTTTTGTGTGCCTGATCTGCCCTGGAGTTAGGAAGCCTGTGCAGGGTTTCATTCTGCACTTGCTACAGAGAATTGGTGTGTAATTTGGCATTTTTGTTCCAGTTGCCATTGTATTATGTCTAGAGTGCTTCAAACCAATGTTATTTTAGTGAGTGGGATATAGGACCGTTAATCACATATTAGTTTTTAACTGCAGTGTTCTTCACAGTCATACTTAACTTGGCTTCAGTGCTGTCTGGCTTTATATAGATATATAAAATAAAAGGGCTCTTGGGTACCATTCCAAATCAAGCCACGGTGCTGGCGTTTTCATGTCATTGAAATGCAGTATATTATTTCTGTACTTTTTATCTCTCATTTACTTAACTTGTCTGCAAAATAGAATAAATGACTGTAGAAGAGATGTTTCTGGTCTAATTAAAAACACTTAACAATACTTCTTGACAATAAACCCCTTTGAAGGGGAATATTTTTGGATGTGAAGTGATACAGTGGCTAGATCTGAGTCAAGGGAAACCCTATTTGTTTCAGTACCAGATTTGTTGGTAAGTTATTAATGGAGATAAATTAACCATGTTCTGTCACTCACATTTTTCATTTCTCAGCCACAAATACATGGAACATTCTCCAGACGAGCGGAGCTTTGGTACAAGGAGGATATGGTCACAGTAGTGTCTATGATCCAAATACAAGATCAGTTTATATCCATGGAGGTTACAAAGCATTCAGTGCCAACAAATACAGGCTAGCAGATGACTTGTACAAATACGAAGTTGATTCCCGTATGTGGTAAGTAGTTTTTCTTCCTGTGCACCACCCCCCATCATTTTTGATTGTAGTGGACAAGAGGATGAGGTATTTGATAAGGGTACAGTAGTACGTAGTTACCTGCATTCAGGATAGATAGTGTGCTCTTGTTTCTGTTATTTTTATGTCCCTTTATGAATAGAGAATCATATAATCACATATAATCAAGGCTGTGAACGAGCCCAGAAATCCATTTTAATCTATTGTTGTGTTAAAGCTGAAAAGATGGGATTTTCTTGCCAGCAGTACAGGCTGTGCATATGAGTGCAGTTACTGCAGTCAAGTGAGTGATAATTCATTCTGCAGTTAAGACCGCAAAAGAATTTCTATTATAACCCCATTTTCTTCTGGCTCTGTAACTGCTTGAAACATTCATTTCTTAAGCTGAAATCTTCTGTGATTTGTTTCTGCCCAAGGGTGAGTTTTATTAAAAAGCTATAGCAAAACTTCACAACTTTGAGCTGTAGAGGTGAATACATTTTCCTCAATTTTGTGTTTTTCTTAAAGTTGTTTTTAAAGGCTCCTGACAAAAAGGAGACTGCCTTTTAAATTAACACATGTAAATTTGAGTCAAAATATCTCTTTTTGAGAGTTTAAAATAGCTTATATTTCTGCAACAACTGTTTGTGAGTCTGTACTGGTGAGTAAAGTAACTAGTGACTAATTTCCAAAAGCCCTTCCTTCCTGCTCCCTTGTACATGCAGTAATAACCACGCTTCCTTTCTTGGTTCATTCAATCCTTCACTTCAGCCATGGAGCGGGCAAATCTGGCTGAATAGGCAGAAAATTTAACAAATGTGACAATATTTTTCCAAACAGCTTGCAGCACCAACTTGCTTTCGTCGCATTTTGTCAGTCTCACGAGGACTGTCAAAACAGGCGAGCAGTCACCTTGCGGTGAGGCGTGTAGGAGTGTCTGCTCATCTTTATCTAGACTTGCTTTTGGTGTCATTGGCTTTTTTTTTATTTTTCAGTAATTTCGGTCCCCCCCCCCTCTCTCTCTCTCTCGATTTCATGGAATAGCAAAAAAACAGTCCCTTGATCTTTATTTTGGCAAGTGTGTTTCTCCCCATGTTCCCTCCAGTGTTTCGACTGGCAGCTTCAGAGTCTAACGCAGTAACCCTGACGGGGACAGAGTAATGCTCGAAAAGCCCCTGCGTGCTGCAAAACTGCTGCTCGTACATTGGGAACACATGGTCCAGGTCGTTGATCTACCATTTGCTGAATATTTTTGTTCTGAAAGTCTGGGCTTCACTGGAAGCTGCGTTTGGGATGCTGCTGTTCTGCAGAACCGGTGACAGCTGCTGCCTGCGACGCATGGCCCCATTGGGGTTTTCCTGCAATCCTATCCTCTCAAAATAGTAGGGAAATTCTACAAAGGGCGACCCTTTGTGTTCATTGCCGTTAATCACGCTGATTAAAGGTGAGGTCAGTGACGAGTTTGATGAATGCTTCCCATGATTTAGTCATGGATGAGGCATTGAGATTTGCAGGTATTAAGCTGCAGGGCTCCATTATCAGCAGCTGCATAGATTTCCTTAAAATAGGTTTTTTATTTCGAGCAACAGATGATACCCAGTTTGAAAGAACTCTTTAGGTTACTATAAAAGTAGAGTTACTATGAAATATTGGAGTCCTCCCAGGCAGTGTCCATGTTAGCAGGTTTAACTGACTGTGCTCAAAAGCCCAGTTGGTGTGCAAACTTGATAATCCCTAGGGAAGGAACTGATGTTTTAAAGATCCATAGCTTTGGAAGAGGCTTTCATAGATATATTTCTCGTATAAATTGGCAAGCGGATAGGAAGATGAGAGAATCAAATTACAGGAGGAATTGAACAGTGTGGAAAGTAAGTTATTAAGTACCTCATTAGGAAAAGTAGTTAAATACGACCCCCCGACTCCTCCCTGCACCCCCAAACCCTTCTTCAACTTCAAGTTATGGATTGTTTTGTCTTTGCCAGGTGCTAATCAGTTTCATTAATACATATGTTTTTATTTCTGAAGGACTGTTCTTAAAGACAGTAGATTTTTTCGCTATTTGCACACGGCTGTGATAATGAGTGGAACCATGCTGGTGTTTGGAGGAAACACGCACAACGACACCTCCATGAGCCACGGTGCAAAGTGCTTTTCTTCAGATTTTATGGCGTATGATATCGGTAAGTTCTTGCAGAAATAATAATAGAAAAATTCTTGGATATTCAAAAAGAACTGACTTCAGAATGACTAATTTACATGCTGGGTATATGATACCAAATGCTACTAAGCATACTGCAGAAGAATGTGTAATCAGGAGAGGCTCATTTAGTTTGCTACACATTACCAAGTAAATGAGCTGGTGCAGTGATTTCTAGGCAAATACGGCAGCAGTTATTTGGGCAACAGTTTATACACAACCTTGGGCATTAAAAATTATTTCTTAAACAGGAAGCATATTGTTCTATCATCTCAGCTGCAAAGCTATCCTGATATTTTGAGTGTGTTTTAATCTAGGATTTATCAAAATGGCAGGCTGTGAGGAGAGTTACAAGCACTGGACCCTGCTGAATCTCAACTTCTATGTTGCACGCTCTTGTTTTAACTGCAGGCTGGCTGACTTGTTTGGCTGTGCTGTTTGTAATGTCAGTTTGTTTATATGTACGCTTTATAAGCATAAATATCCCCATAAGCACTATTTAACAATAAAGCCAAATGAGTAAATTTTCTTTGGAAGGATAGAGTTTTGGTGAGTTTGAATAGCCAGGAGAGGGCAGCATTTATTTGTGAATTTGGAGTCCGGAGACGATGCATTTAAGAAGAAGAAAGAAAGAAGTGAAATTATAGAAAAGGAGGCAGATGCACATCCAGATAATTCACACTGAAGAAAAGTACCATTCTGTACTCATATATCGTTGTACCTTCCACTCACAGAATTCCTTAAATGTGGGCTCTCGTGATTGATTCCCCGAAATAATCAGGTAAATCTGAATTCTTGGAGTGACTGTCCGCTGAGATGTCGCCCCTGGTTTGTGAAAGGAATATGCAAGCACATGGATTACTTTCAGCAGCAGGGTTTGGCATCTTTTTGCCGTTTTGCTGTCTGTTGCAGGGATCATTCCCTTCTACTTTCCATGATTTTACGTCACATCCCTGTGGAATTTATTGTGTGCTCCTAGCTACCTTTATTCTAGAGTTTTTTCTTGAAGAATTAAAATGAGGTATTTTGACAGTCACGGACAGAGTAATCTTTTTAAACTTTGATAGCAAGATTGATGGATTTTTCTTGCTACATTTTGCTATCTTCCCTGACCCATTGAACTGTCTATTAGGTGCAAAACACAAATTGCATTAATTTGACAAACTACGCCAATAGTGATGTTCATTTTGATTCCGTTGAGTTAACATGCAGGTTCCTGTTAGATGAAATAAGTGGTGTAGTCATCTTGCCCCGTCCTTACCAGTTTTACGCTGGGATTTAGAGCTTGCATTGATTGCACTTGACATACCAGGGATGAGAGGTGTTCTGGTGGTCTTGGATACCCTTGTTCCTTGGGGCAGAGACTCTCAGCTGGAGAGAGTAGCTTTTTTTCAGGGAAAAAAAGACCACTTTTTCTGTTCTTTTCATGGCAGGACACCTTATGCACCATTTACTTTATCCCATTGGACCAGGAGCACTACCAGGGTACTGGCTGGTCATTAGTGTCACAGCAGAAACACCTACTTGGTGGTTCTTCGTGCGTGATCTCTGCAGTAATTATATGGACCATGTTCATGTTGGTCTCCGTGGGAATAAGCCCATATACTGTGGGGAAGCAATGTAAATATCAGACGGTTGTGGCTGTGCCATCATAGAGGGATATGACTATCGCATCTTTAACATTAACATGCTTATGTGTTTGTTATCTATCCCTTAATGGTCCTAAGGCTCAAGCTATCCAGGAGAAAACCAAGCAGCAAGGTCAATTGATACTGAGTGCCTCCGGAGGAGAGGCTTAGTAATTAGCTATCTTACTCCCTACTTTTATAGTATGCTCTCTGGCTAGTTTGCTCATTTTTAACATCTTGTTGATGAAGATAGTATCTTAGTGATCATAGTGATGGTTGGAAGATTGGAGAAAACTGAAATTAAAATGCAGTGTTAAATAAAGTCTTGAAAAACAAGTCTTTAACCTTCACCATTAAAACTTATTTCTGCAGTAACTCATTCTCTTTACTGTACCAAATTTTTCTGGTTTTCTCTCCTCAAATTTCTAAGTAATCAGACCACATGCATTGAGTGTTGTGAGGACATACTATCTTCTTCTTTTTGTGTGTGGGATGCAAACAGATGTCACTGAGATGTGTGCTGAGATTCTCTGGGGGTTTAGCAGGTTAGGTAGATCGGAGAATGCATTAATGCTTCCTATCCCTTTATCCTCCACTTGACCAGGTTGGGGTGTATTCAATTCAAATTGTCCAGGTAATGCCCAGTTTTGGAAGGTTTCAGCTGTCTGTGTGCACGTGCGTTTCTTGTTGCTTCTCAGGACAAGCTTTTGGATTATGTTGATGTTCAGGTTGGGTGAGCACTTGGGTAGAGCAGTTTCACAGTATTTTTCCTGCAATGACTAATTAGCACTTCGTAGCCCCAAAATGAGCCTCTCTGGCCTCTGTAGAAGTTTCCTGCTCTGCAGCAGTTCTGTTTCTGGGTGGACGAATGTCTCACTTGATCCTCTGCCACCTCCTGTCAACAATTCGTAGCGGCAAAGGAGCTGAGTTAAGAGCTGCAGCCCTTCCATCGCTACATGTTCATCTCCAGGAGGGAAAAGGCTAGGGTTGTGCTTTCCGAAGGGTCACCTCCCTTGCGTATGGGATGTGTCTAAAACAAGAATAGAATCTTCACAGGCAGGTTGTCTGAAAATGCAGTCACTGTGGGTTAAGTAACCATTCTTTTTCTTTTCTAAATAAGTTTTAACTTTACTTCTTTTTTTTCTTTCAAACTCAGCATGAAATATTCATGTAAAGGCTATACTTGTATAATGATCTTTTCTCCCCACAGGACAGAAATTAAAACTCTTCTATTTACCCCATCAAAAATTCAGTTCTGATGACAAACAGAAAGAGGCTGGAAGCTTTCATAGCATGTATGTTCTATTTGAATAGTATATTTAATAAATCCTGTGCCTTGTGAGTTTTAGGCTTGGCTTAACTCATAAGTCAGGAAGGAGAGGATTCTTTGTAGTTTTGGAATTATTCATTTTTTTCCAATACTTGATCTTCAGTTAAAGATGGAAAAGAAGCTTAGAAAGCAAAACATTCCAGGCCTTCTATTAATCTAGAAAAATATGTTTCTTGGCCTCACATAACTCACAACTTGATGAGTAAAAAATTGCAAATTGCTGTCCAATTTTGCTGAAGTCTCCCGTTAAAAATTGGAACCATGCATGCTTGTCTCAGGAATGATGCTGGGCTAGGTTAAATTCTTTGAAAATCGAGCAAATGATGTTTTAAAAATAAACTTCAAAATCACAATTTATGAAAGTATTAAATCTAACCAGTTGGGTCCTATGTCTTTTATTTATCAGCACTCTTAAACAGAAGTTTCTGCTGGAGCAGAGGTTAGGATCAGTTGTTTTACCCAACAATTCTCGAATCATATTTAGTAAAAAATTAATAAGGTTGTTTTTCTTTGCCCTCTCAGTTTATCTACGTACTAGTTTGGGGTTTGTAGGCTTTTTTTTTTTTTCCCCCCAGAGGTTCAGTCCATGGCACAACAGTTTTATCTTGTATTAAAGAATCTTCGAGTATTTGAGGGCTCTGTAGATCTTTACAGCAGATTGACTTTTCTGTCTTAATTGCATAAATTGCATACAACTGCCTCTGGGATGTTAGCCCCAAGGTGATCCCATTCACTTTACGAAGTTTAAGTGAAACGAACTGGACTGACTTTTCCTGCTTTTGTTCCTTTCATTGCTCAGTGGGTTATATGTTTCTTAGGTTGTTTTTTTTTCGTGCTGCCTAAAGGAAGAAATTACCTGAGAAACCAAGTGAAAAATGAAGCAGAACTTATAAATGTTATGCTAATAGAAAAAGATGGAATAATCTCACATTATATTAAAAGAGAAAAACAACCACAAATCCTTAAGCTATGATGAGTGAAAAATATTTTTAAAAACATGGATATCTACCCTCTAGGAACATAATTGCAATGAAAAAAAAAAAAGATAGGTCTCTGTTCTCAGTGATACTGGTTTGGGGCAAAACTGCAAATAATTCGCATATAAACAGATAAAAACTGAACTTGTAACGCAGTGAAAAATTCCACTAGTAGAGGAGAAAAAGCAACTCAAGCCACCGCCATTTAATTACATGTGATTGCCAAAAGACTAATAACCCCTTCAACACAATGCCCTGAAACTTTCCTTTTTCATGAACTGTTTAGGTGATAGACTAGAGCTATTACATCCTTCCTTTCCCTTTTTGTCATCCCATAGCAGCTGGGCTGAAGACTAAGTCTTAACAAAAGATGGTAACGTGGCACTTTTGTAAACTGTCCTGTTTCACTCCAGATTTATATATTGATGGTGGATAGAATGGCCTTTCTGTAGTTTTTAGAGTAGAATCACAGAATCATAGAATCATCTAGGTTGGAAAAGACCCTTAAGATCATTGAATCCAACCATTAACCGAACACTGCCAAGCCCACCACTATGACATGTCCCTGAGCACCACACCTACACGTCTTTTAAATACCTCCAGGGATGGGGACTCCACCACTTCCCTGGGCAGCCTCTTCCAGTGCCTGACAACCTTTTGGATTGAAGAAATTCTTCCTAACATCCAATCTAAACCTCCCCTGGTACAACTTGAGGCCGTTTGCTCTTGTCCTATCGCTCGTTACTTGGGAGAAGAGACCGACCCTCACCTGGCTACCCCCTCCTTTCATGTCGCTGTAGAGAGCGATCAGGTCTCCCCTCAGCCTCCTCTTCTCCAGACCAAACCCCCCCAGCTCCCTCAGCCGCTCCCCATCAGACT